CCCTAGGAATTTGTATCAATTCTAAAAATTAGAAATTAAAAGAATTACTTAGTTCATATCTCCCAAGTTTGGGACTGGTGCTCCATTGTTTTTTCTTTGTGGAGTCTTTCAATATTTTTAAGACTGAGGACAGGACTTTTTTTGGGGGAAACTAAAGGGAGGAGGGGGAGAGACTCCCCAGTGTCCCCAACTCCTCCTGCTGCCTTCTGCCAGAGTTCATCTGTGGCTGTGGAAAAACCATAAAAAGATGGATGTTGGCATTTCCCTGTCCAACGGGTACAGCCTGGAGTATAAAATCCTGATTGCAAGGTTCCCTCTGGGTGTTTGCTTGTACCAGGTTGTGTTAGGGGTGCTGAATAAGCCAGGCATAACCACATTTTCGTGGTGCTGATTTTTCTTTCTTTCTAGGTGTTACCTGTAAGACCCAACTGGACCTGAGATCATGGATTTTTAATCAGGTGGTTGCTGCTCATCAGGACTGCTTTGGAATAACAGCTGTGAGGTGAAAAGCCCTGCGTCCTAGAACCATCTCTGGGGCCATGCAGATCCCTTCAGCTACACCTCTTCCTGCCAGGCTCTCGGCTGAAGATTAGCAAATACTAGAGTGTGTGGGTGAGATTCAGCAGAGGAAACAAGCAAAAGAGAGGGATGTAATCCCAGCGAGCTGTCCCAGGGCACTGCCTGCTCTGCTTTGAGCCCCTCCTTCCCACGTCAGGTATGAGCAAGGGGAGGGCATTAAGATTTTATCCAACATCCTGCAGCTTCCCTTCTAGTCCGTGGGGATAATTTCCTCCCTGAGGTTCTGCAAAGGGAACTGAATTATTCAGGGGGGTGGATTTTTATTTCTTCCCCTGCACTTCAGGGATGTTTTTAACCTCGGAGCCAGGTCAGAGAAGGTATAGTTGGCAGGTTGTTTAATAACTGCTTTATTTTCCCCTCTAGCTCTTACGATGTGCCGTGTTTAAGTGAAGCTGACATCCCAGGAGTTACGCCGTAGTACCGTGGAGCTGGTGTGGTGTTGGACAGTCAGTTGTTTTATCTTTCAGAATTTGCTTTCTCAAACTTTTTTCCTTTGGCATATGGAAGCATCTATTTTTTATGAAGTCTGTGCCTTTTATGCTCTCTTCACTCTGGGAGGGCAGAGTTTAAGTGTTACAGCTATGATTTTTTTTTTTATAAATATATATAAATGCTTCAGATGCTTCAGCTAGTTTTCAGAAAGGCAGTTTAATTTGCTGTGAGCAGTTTAATTTGCTATGGCTACAGTGAGTTTGATTTTTAATCATATTTTTTTAATGTGCACAGGTTTTAGTTCTGTGTAAGTTATTACAACTGATAGAATCATTCTATGATTATTGCAGCCAGTGGTAAGGTTTTAGCCTCACTGTTTATTTTTGAAGCTGGAGAGGGCAATGATGTTAATACCAGTGTCTTTAATGCTGATGGGTAATTTATATAGCCTCCTGTAGATGGTGATGTGCTCCACTCCATGTCTTCTGGGTGCTGGATCCCACGCCCCATCCACCTGAAGGAGTGGATTGCCAGGCTGGGTGAATTACATTCAGTGTCCTCCTTGTTTTTATTTTTCTGACCTTCATTCTTTCCATGTCTAAAGCATCTTGGCCTCATCTCAGTTAGGATCAGTTGTGGGTGGACCTGTGCTGATGCTCAGTAACTTGTAGAGGTGTTGGTCTCTGACAGTGAGCCAGCAGTGGGTTCAGCTTAAGGTAAAATGCAAGTTATATGAGACTTAACCGCTTTTTATCTCCCTCACACAGCTGAGTTTGTGTACTTAGCATGGCAGCACTTGCTGGTTGTGCTTTGAAGGGCTGAAGTGCACCTGCTTCCAAAATCAAAGCCAAGCTTTGCATGGGGTCCTACAATCTGCCAAAGCATGGGCAGCCAGCCCTACCTGTGCCTGCTGCTTCCCCGTACAGGACAGGCTTTACAGCTTGTTGGAGAAACTTGCTGGAGAAAACTCGTTGTTGGTGGTGAGCTTAATGGTGGTGATGAGTTGTACCTCAGTTCTCATTAGCCATTTTGTGGTGGTTTGGTGATGATCTGAATGTTTTGGTTTTTTTTCCTGGCTGCTGGAGTGGAGGCCACCCTACATGTCAGCATTTGGATGTACTGGTGTGTGAAGATGCACTGGTGTAAACAGCAACACTTCTTGGGGGCAGTGAGTCACACAGCCAGCCCGTCCCAGAGCCAGTCACAAAGCTGTTTGTCCTAGGGTTTTTTTAATGGCTGAACTGGACTCATAGCACAGCAGGCAGCAAATACACCCCGGGCAGCAGAGTGCAGCTCCCTGTCTGACTCACCCGCTGCCTCCTGCTCCCTTCTTTATGCCTGTTACTTTTATGTCCCCTTGGAAATGACCCCAATGAACAACAACTTCCAAGGCAGCAAAACTTTAGCTGGACCACTGGGCTACTTAAAAAGCAGATTATTTGCCTTCCCCGGGGATTTGGTGTTAGTGCTGCAGCTTTTCCTGGTGTGGAGGCCAGAAGGAGAGCTGCAGCAGTGCAGCTTGGCGTGAGTGGGCTGGTGCCGGTGAGCGGCCTGGGGCATCTCTCCAGCTCGCCTCACCTCCCCCTCCCAGCAAGGGCTGGCAGGACGTGGGGAGAGGACAGGCTCCCGAGTTTTGTGCAGAACAGAGCGGGTTTGTGTCCGGTGCCTCCTTTGGGGAGGGAAGAGGGTCGGGTTTGGCAGCGCGGCGCTGGCAGGAGCGGGGTCCCGGTGCGTGGGACAGGGGACGGGTGGGCAGGAGGCCATGGCGGTGACGCCACCCCACAGCTTTCTCCCAGCGACTCCAATTGCAGGCAGCCAGGAAGTGAGATCACGGCTC